CCCTCACACAAACCAAAACAGCCCAAGGCTTGCTCCCTGCTACTCCGGCCGGGAGCAAGTCCAGGCTGCAGAAACGATGTAAAAACGACATAAGCTCGACACTATCAATTCTAATTTCAAGACGGTACAACCCTAATCTAATGTAAACACAACACTAATCAACTCTGAATACATAGCGGCAGTAGGATACCTGTTAATCCCCAAATTAACAAAACAGTCCATGGGACAAAACCCATCACATCATGAGAAATTAGCCACAATCCCAGTCTATTGTAAACACGGTACGAAATAAAGCGTCGTTTACTAACAAACCCGTAGTGCCATGAGAAAGAAGCCCATCGTTTCCCAAAGCATTAACAACGACGCCCTAATCCTAATCTAGTGTAAACTTGGCACAAAATAAAGCATCGTTTCCCAAAGCATTGACAATTCAATGACGAAGTACAGTGACACTCATCCCACGACTCAAGTCAGCACAACGCTGATGTAAAGGAAGAACACGAAAAAAGAGTAGTCTACAAGGCCGGCGACATGAATCATTCACCACACGCAGATGGAGAAGGAACCAGAAAACAAAACAGAAGAAAAAGGAAGAACGGATCTGAAACCCTATTATGCACTAGGCATGTCGCAATCGAGATCCTCAATTTCAGAACCGCCACGCGAAACAGAACAGGTTTACTATGACTAACACATTCACTAACAATACGCTATCTATTCACGATTCTTCATAACCACACGTGACGAAACACTGAAGAACCAACCAACATAGCACTCGCCAATTTCGCCGTGGGCCGCCGTTGATTACTCGCAGGCAGGATGTTCCCACGACAGCTCCATATCAAGACCGAAGGCCTCAGCCCTCAATGGGTTGCAGAAGGTATGCGAATCAGTAAGCTGAAACTCTGGTGTAAACGCGATACTCGGATCCCGCCCGTCGAACGTCCACACATCAGCCACAACCGCCATCCTTCCGCGCCCGATCAGGATTACCGACCCAGTCGGCCGGGAATAGCCCATGGCAAGGGCTCTTCAGACCCACTTGCAGCGTGTCCCATAGTGCCCACACACTCTATCCCCCACGCTCCTGCCACCCTAGCAACGAGCTTTGGCTAGGCACCACCATCTTTTCGATAGCACCCGTGTGATCCCCCATTGCCCAAGCAGCATGTCGCTATGCAGCGTTACGCAGCATAACGCAGCATGTCGCTATGCAGCGTTAACGCTGGCCGGAGTGCCACAATGGTGCTTTCTTTTCTCACAATTGGAGTGGCATAAGGGCACTTCCACAGCAGAAAATGAAGAGGTGCCAGAATCCCTTTCGTACAAAAATGGCAAACGGAAGGACGCTCGCACAAGAGGGTCGTTGAGCTACCCTCTTCCCCCGAACATAACTGCTTTCTTTTTTCACAATTGGAGTGGCATAAGGGCACTTCCACAGCAGAAAATGAAGAGGTGCCAGAATCCCTTTTGTACAAAAATGGCAAACGGAAGGACGCTCGCACAAGAGGGTCGTTGAGCTACCCTCTTCCCCCGAACATAACGCACCCTAAAAATGATTGTATACAAGCTATATTTCCGGCCACATACAGCCAAAATAAGGTTGCGTTGTGTTCGGGGGAAGACCCTAGCTGTCTCCAAAAAAGGAGACAGCTACCGGTAGCTCAACGGAAAGTGGCGAGGGTAGGCGGAGTAGTATTCGCGAGAAAGGGTTTACTTCTTTTTTTGTTTTTGTTTTTTTACAAAAAAAGGAGTATATTATAGGGTTTACTTCTGCTTTTTGTTGTTAGAATAAGAAAAAGCAAAGATAGTCTCTATTTGCCTTTTTTTATTAAAAATAAAAACGGACCGCTAGATAGATGACTTGGACGACGTGCATCTACGTTGTCGCGTACAGTCGCACAGTCGCAAAGTCGCACAGCGTCGAACCCCCCCAAGGTCGGTAGCTCAACGGAGCTTGTCCCTGGGGCCAAGTCCCACTAGGAGCGTTGAGGTACCGCAATGCCTGAATGTGGACGCTTTTGGGGAGACGTGGAGAAATGGTGTTGGGTTTCCGGAACTGCACGTCTCCACAAACACGTCCAGATTCAGGCGTTGACGTAGCTCAACGGAGCTAGTGGGACAAGGTCCCTGGGCCTCGGAGGAGGAGGAAAGAGGAGTACGCAAAAAAAAGAAAAAAGAAAAGGAAAGAGGACTACGTAGGAAGAAAGAGGAGTATGGTCGCAAATAGATCGGAGCCTTTCGTTTCTTTCAAAAAAAAAGAAAAGGAAAAAAAAAAAGAGGAGTGTGGGCCTCGCTCGGACGCTCACCGCATGTGCGAAAGGAGGCAAAAAACATGGCGGGTGCATGTTCCCATGTTCAGGCCGAAGATTCATTCTTATTTTGCACAGTTGATGAGTAGTGGAGCGAGGCCGTATGCAGGAAGCGAGGAGGGTGGCAGGAAGAAGAAAAGAGGAGGAAGAAAGACGCAGGAGGAGGAGGGTGGCAGGAAGAAGAAAAGAGGAGGAGGAAGAAAGGAGCAGGAGGAGGTGGTATAAGGAGGAAGAAAAAGTATCAGGAGTTGTGGAGGAGGAGGAGGAAGGAGAAGAAGAAAGGAGCAGGAGGAGGTACAAGAAGGAAGAAAAAGGAACAGGAGGAGAGGAGGAGGAGGAGTAGGAGTAGTAGTAGTAGTAGGAGGAGGAGGAGTAGGAGTAGTAGTAGTAGTAGGAGGAGGAGGAGGAGGAAGGAGAAGAATGTGGTATAGAACAGAGATAGCCTTTCCAGCGCTATCAGGTCCATGCGTCCGGGAAAAAAATCATCATTAAAATATTTTTAAAAAATAATAAATAAATAAAAGAAAATAAAAAATCATTATCATCATCATCAATCATTGCCATCGTTGGTCTGATCACCTGCACAGAAACAGTCCCGCGCATTCTCTTGCGACGAAAGCGCACATTGCCCGCGCGTATTCCCCCGAGGCGTTTGCGCTGGTTGCGCACCAGCGCACCTCACGGGTAGAACCAACCCCACGCCCGCACCTCACAGCACTTTCCGCACATTCTCCGCCGCTTTCCGCCCGCTTTCCGCCCGCGCTTTCCGCCCACTTTCAGATACTGAACTGAATAGAACAGATATTAGACATGATCTGTTTTTAGCCAAGAGGCCTGTAAACGTATTCTGCCCACTTCTTCTTCTTTTTTTTTTTTCTTTTTTTTTCTTTTTTAATTTCTGCCCACTTCCGGCCTTGAGGAAAGACCGTCGTTCTAGCTTTTTTGCCCTGACCTAGAATATAGGGTATCAGCTGAAGTAGAGGATGAGGAAGTACTGCGTAGTGACAGGACAAGAAGAATTGGGATTGCATTGAACAGTAGCCACGTGTACACGTGGTGGTTGCCCCGATCGCCACGTGTCCATCTTCGTTCAGAATATCGACTTCCACAAATTAAAAAAAAAAAGAAAAAAAGAAAAGAAAAGAATGGGGGAATATTGTGTTCACAACCTGGCGGTCCAGCATAGCCAATGGTCTAAGGGCGCCGAGGGCGCACATTCCTTGGCTCGGCGCGCTTCGACTGGTTGCCGTAGCGCTCATCAATCAAGAGGCTACCTCTCTCTCTTCCCTCCTCTCGGCTGCATCGACCATTGTTTTCACTATTGAGCTGAGATGTGTACACGCGGCTATGTTTTGAAGAGCTTTCGATGAGTGTACGAAAGGCAGTTGGCCACTGTTTTCACTATTTTCACTATTCCTTCTTCCTTCTTCCTTCTTCCTTCTTCAGTCTTCATTCTGCCCTGAGGAGAAGAATAGTGAAAACAGCGGGCCATAGACTGAGACTGTTTTCACTATTTTCACTGTTCCTTCTTCCTTCTTCCTTCTTCCTTCTTCATTCTTCATTCTGCCCTGAGGAGAAGAATAGTGAAAACAGCGGGCCATAGACTGAGACTGCTTCTCTCACATGCTTCAAGAGAGAGAAGGAAGAAGGAAGAAGGAAGGAGGAAGAAGAAGGAAGGAGAAGGGGGAGAAGGGGGAGAAGGAGGGAGAAGGATTGAAGAGAGGGGGGGGGGAGAAGGATTGAAGAGAGGGGGGAGAAGGGGGGGAAGAAAAGGTCTTTTGCCCTTTTGCCCTTTTGCCCTTTTTGCCCTTTTGGCCTCGACTTGGAGGAAGTAAAAAGAGTAGTGATAATCAGAGGCTATAGAAACTGTCTTTTGTGCTCGCGTCAACATAAAATTTCCTTACAGATCCGCATGCACTGAGCTCAAGAAGAAACGCGCTCATTGCCCTATACGCACGTTCAAGGCAGAAAGCGCACCTGGATTGCAGGTGAGCTTGCAGAAGAAGTATAGGAAATTGTGATTAGTCATTAGTGATTAATTAGTCGTTGGTGATTAGTGAATGATTAGGCATTGGTAATCAGTGATTAGCGATTGATTGATCAGTCATTACTGATTAGCGATTAGTGAACGATTAGGCATTAGTCATCAGTGATTAGCGGTTGATTGATTAGTCATTAGTGATTAGGGAATGGTTACTCGTCATTCGTGATTGGCAATTGATTAGTGATCAGTGGGGAGTGATTGATTAGGGTGGAGAATGAGTCTTGACTATCGGTAGTAGCGAGAGCTGTGAAGAGTGAACTACTGTAGTAATTGCATTGGCTAATCACTCTCACTACCGGTAGCTGCCAACGCGGCAAGAGATACACCATTGGGTTTATCGCTCCTGCAGTGAATGGGGAGGGAATAAGGAGAGGGGACGGAGGGGGGGGGGAAGGGGAGGGGGAGAGGGGAAGTGGGGGATCATATATAAGCCTTGCTTTGCCCCTCGACTGTGTTTCGACAGCGGGACGTCAACGAAAATTTTCGGAGTCTGGAAGTTCGCAATCGGAAAACGACAAAAAATCGAACTGTAAGTTGGGAACCGATCGTTGTCTTCATGACTTTTTAACATTCCTCTTATATATATATTTATATACCTATATATATATATATTGTCACAAGAATATCAGAGCGCAAAAGCGAAAAAAGAAGGAAAAGAAAGAAAAAACAAGGAAAAAATGAATTGGTTTTATTTTTTTTCCTTACAACCCCTGTTCAAAACCTCTTGCGTACAAGGCCGCCCACACACACACACAGAGAGAGACAGAGAGAGAGAGAGAGAGAGAGAGAGAGAGAGAGAGAGAGAGAGAGAGAGAGAGAGATTTAAGTTTGAAGTATATGTATGACGATGTATATGAGAATAAATGTAAGTGGAACGCATAGAAGGATTGGATTGAACACGCGAATCTGGACGTGTTTGTGCACCTTTGTGGAGACATGCAGAAAATCCGGATTGAACTGCTTTTCTGCATTTCTGCGTAAAACACGTCCAGATTCAGGAGCTTAATCCAATCCTCCTTGCTAGTGAGATCTTGCCCCAGATGAGATCCTGCTCAGCACAACTGCAGACCTGTTAAAACCCTTGCAGTGAAAAAAAGAAAGAAAAAGGACAGGAGAAAAAAAAAGGAAACAACAATAATGACGACGATGGATAAGCTATCCCTCCTCCCTCCTCCTCCCTTCTTCTCCCTCCTCCCACCTCTTTCTCCCTCCTCCTCCCTCCTCCCTCCTCCTTTTCCTCCTGCAGTTGCTGCTGCTTTTTTTTTTTTTTTTTTTTTTTTTTTTCTTTTGTGAGAGGCGCAGTTCCATTGTTGTTGCTGCTACTCCTACTGCTACTCTTGGCGTCCTTGCTCCCACCACCTTCTGTCCTGCTGGCCGTTTGCGGGGCCACCACCTTATCTCCTGCTGGTGATTCATTAAATTGCCAGTTTTATAATTATTGTTATTACTCATCACCCTAATTTATTTTTTTTCCCGACGACTCGTTTTTCTTTTCCTCACTCTGCCCGGTTTAGCCGCCTCCCTCTCCTAGCTTTAACATTTTTAAATTCTTAAAAAAATTAGCAAAAAATAGATTGTCGTCCACCTTCCTGTCGCCGCTTCCCTCCTCTCCCCTTCCCCCCCCCGTTCTCCCCCTTTCCCC